CCTTCCTTCCTTCCTTCCTTCCTTCCCTCTCTCTCTCTCTCTCTCTCTTTCATTCTTTCTTTCTTTCTCTTTCTTTCTTTCTTTCTTTCTTTCTTTCTTTTTCTTCTTCTTTCTTTCTTAATAATAATAATAATAATGATAAAGTTGGAAGGGACCTTGGAGGTCATCTAGTCCAACCCCCTGCTCAGGCAGGAAACCCTACACCATTTCAGACAAATGGCTGTCCAGTCTCTTCTTAAAAACTTCCAGTGTTGGTGCATTCACCGCTTCTGGAGGCAGGTTGTTCCACTGGTTAATTGTTCTCACTGTCAGGAAGTTTCTCCTTAGTTCTAGGTTGCTTCTCTCTTTGGTTAGTTTCCATCCATTGCTTCTTGTCCTGCCTTCAGGCGCTTTGGAGAAGAGATTGACTCCCTCTTCTTTGGGGCAGCCCCTGAGATACTGGAACTCTGCTATCATGTCCCCCCTGGTCCTTCTCCTCATTAAACTAGACATCCCCAATTCCAGCAACCGTTCCTTATATGCTTTAGCCTCCAGTCCCCTAATCATCTTTGTTGCTCTTCTCTGTACTCTTTCTTTCTTTCTTTCTTTCTTTCTTTCTTTCTTTCTTTCTTTCTTTCTTTCTTTCTTTCTTTCTTTCTTTCTTTCTTTCTTTCCTTCCTTTCCTCCTCCTCCTCCTCCTTTTTCTCCCCCCCTTACTCTCTGAAGCAAAAATATTAAATACATCTTGGAATCACAGAGTTAAGGAAAGAATTAAGGCCATCCCACCCTAATCCTGCTTAATGCCACAATTCAAATTAAAGCATTCTGGTCTGGCTATCAGGCTCCCAATAATAACAGTGTGAAGTTATTCCTAGCAAGCGGTTTTTCTTCCTTTATTTTCACTCCCAAGGCCAAACCAGAAACATTATACATACCTCACAGTTAACAACGCAGGCGTTAAGATTAGGCGAAGAAGGCACCAGGCGATAGTACGCTAAAGCTATAGAAATGTCCTCATTATCCTTGATACATCTAAAACTTTGCCCGCCTGAAAGCAAAGCGGTGATCTTGTTGTGAAGAAAATTAAAATTTCTGGGAACCGGTGTTCTGACTGCTAATTGCCAGTGCAGATAAGATGGAGACCTTGAGAGAACATGACAGGTGGATTCTCCTGTAATTTAGCCCACTGTTCACTGTCTTGCATTGTGAGGTTCTAGAGCAGGGATCTTCCAACTTGGCCCTTTGATGACTTGTGGACTTCAACTCCCAGAATTCTTCAGCCAGGCACGCTGGCTGAGGAATTCTGGGAGTTGAAGTCCACACCTCTTAAAATGGTCGAGGTTGAGAAACATCGGTTTAGCTCTTTCTGAGTTAGCATTATTTCCCCCTCACATTATGTCAGGGGTCTTCACACTTGGCCCTTTGATGACTTGTGGACTTCAACTCCCAGAATTCCTCAGCCAGCGTGCCTGGCTGAAGAATTCTGGGAGTTGAAGTCCACAAGTTGAAGTCCACAAGTCATAAAAGGGTCATAGTTCCCTCACGCTAGCTGAGGAATTCTGGGAGTTGAAGTCCACAAGTCATCAAAGGGCCAAGTTCGAAGACCCCTCTTTTAAATCTAAAAAACAAAATGGAGGCTGGCTGAGGAATTCTGGGAGTTGAAGTCCACAAGTCATCAAAGGGCCAAGTTCGAAGACCCCTGTCTTAAATCTAACAAACAAAATGGAGGCTGGCTGAGGAATTCTGGGAGTTGAAGTCCACAAGTCATCAAAGGGCCAAGTTCGAAGACCCCTGTCTTAAATCTAACAAACAAAATGGAGGCTGGCTGAGGAATTCTGGGAGCTGAAGTCCACAAGTCATCAAAGGGCCAAGTTCGAAGACCCCTGCCTTAAATCTAACAAACAAAATGGAGGCTGGCTGAGGAATTCTGGGAGCTGAAGTCCACAAGTCATCAAAGGGCCAAATTAGAAGACCCCTGTTCTAGAGGACACCTATTCACAATTCTCTGCGTGATGCCTTTGAAGATCACCCAGTCATTTTGTCAAAACTACCACTTGCCTCGGCCTCTCCTTGGAGGAGAGCAGATCAAGAATGGAATATCTGAAAATGTTCTTATTGGAAAACCGCCACAACAGAGCCATCCCAAAGGAGCTTTTTCAAAAGGCAGCCTGCTTTTGTTTTTTCCTTGAAGATGCTTCGCTTTTCATCCAAGAAGCTTCTTCAGTTCAGATTTGAAGCAAAACATCTTCAAGAAAACACCCAGTCCAGTTGCCTTTTGAAAAAGCACCTTTGGGACAATCCATGACCTGGAGGACTGAGCTTCTCCATCGACTTTCAAACAGTGTATTTGTCTGTAGAAGCACGTGCAAACCACTTTTTTTTAGTTGGTTCACAGGAAGTTCATCTCTGCCTGTCTTTTCGTCTTTGCCTTTTGGGGGATCAGATGCCAAGAAGGGGATTGGAAATTCAATATTCCCGATTGCTTAGAAAAAGGAACGCGGATAGCCAGCCACTTGCTACGCAGAAGTAAGAAATCTCTGCTGAAAAGAAAAACCTCTTTTGCACACCTGGGCAAGATGGAGGAGAACCACTGCATTTAACCTCTGGACTTNCCTGAAAAGAATAACCTCTTTTGCACACCTGGGCAAGATGGAGGAGAACCACTGCATTTAACCTCTGGACTTGCCTTAAAAGAGAGAAAAACCTGAAAAGAATAACCTCTTTTGCACACCTGGGCAAGATGGAGGAGAACCACTGCATTTAACCTCTGGACTTGCCTTAAAAGAGAGAAAAACCTGAAAAGAATAACCTTTTTTGCACACCTGGGCAAGATGGAGGAGAACCACTACATTTAACCTCTGGACTTACCTTAAAAGAGAGAAAAACCTGAAAAGAATAACCTCTTTTGCACACCTGGGCAAGATGGAGGAGAACCACTGCATTTAACCTCTGGACTTACCTTAAAAGAGAGAAAAACCTGAAAAGAAAAACCTCTTTTGCACACCTGGGCAAGATGCAGGAGAACCACTGCATTTAACCTCTGGACTTGCCTTAAAGAGAGAAAAACCTTAAACCCCCAAAGTAAAATCACGGCGATGGGTTGTGAATTAAAGAATCCCAAAGCTGAAGATTAAATTGAATTTATGGAACCGTGGAGGACTTGAGGAACGTCCAAACTATTGGAAGTTCTTTATCGTAGGAATTTTGCAGACACCTTGATAATGAGTTTATCTTGTGGCCATATTTTTCATCCTCAGCTGTATTGCCGGCATTTATTTTTTGCACTTCCTTTTTCGATTCATTGGGCCATTTTCCGTGGCTTGCGAGTGAAAGTTTTAAAAGATTGATGCTCTCTTTGCCGTTTCCTTCCTGACTGACAGAGCTAGAAAACATTTGATTTCCTGCAAGATAACGGATTTTTTGATCTTCTTCTTAGCGTTCAGCTCATTATTGGTTCCCAGCGTTCATCTCTGGTTAGGCGAGGCTTAGATACTAAGGGATTAAAAACTGTACACCCACACGTACTTGGAAGATTGCTCAAGATTGTGTCTTTCATCTCACTCCCCCAAATTGTCACTCTTTCTCTGAAAAGGTCTCTTCTAAGAATTGATACCCTTCACTTATTCGATTCTAGATCTTGAGGGATCGGTCATGAGATTGGACGTCATGATATAAAAAAGATGTTGAGGCTCTGGAAAGAGTGCAGAGAAGAGCAACAAAGATGATCAGGGGACTGGAGGATAAAACATATAAAGGAACGGTTGCTGGAATTGGGTATGTCTAGTTTAATGAAGAGAAGGACAAGGGGTGACATGATAGCAGTCTTTCAATATTTGAGGGGCTGCCCCAAAGAAGAGGGAGTCAAGCTGTCCTCCAAAGCACCTGAAGGCAGGCCAAGAAGCAACGGATGGAAACTCATCAAGGAGAGAAGCAACCTAGAACTAAGGATGAATTTTCTGACAGTCAGAACAATTAATCAGTGGAACAACCTGCCTCCAGAAGCTGTGAATGCTCCAACACTGGAAGTTTTTAAAGAAGAGACTGGACAGCCCTTTGTCTGAAATGGTATAGGGTTTCTTGTCTGAGAAGGGGGTTGGACTAGAAGACCTCCAAGGTTCCTTCCAACTCTGTCATTCTATTCTATTTGAACGTCTTCCCTGCTTCAGAAGTGATGTAGACGCCGATGATGGTCTTGTTTGGACTTGCAGATCCCACCCAATGTCCTGACGTCAACACAACTGTGGGTTTATAATGTTTCGAAGCCAGAAGTGGTTTGACCCACGGATGTAATTTCAGTGGGGTTCTTGGCTATCCTGTGTAGATCTCTGCTAAACTGTTTTGCAAAATTCGGTGCACTTTTGGGGAAAGGCAACTTCTAAACTCCGTGTAGGAAAAGTCAGATGGATTTCTGCTTGTGCTGCAAGTGGAGGGAAATTATACTGACATAGGTTTCCTCATAAGCATTTTACTCCTCGTAGCTGCTCATAACTGCAGAGGCACATGAAGTCCTGTGGAAAGATAAGGAAAATCTTATGAGTTCAAAAATCACGCTGGGCATGAATTTAGTGACAATATTTTTGCCGTAAAATAGTGCCACTGGAGAGGCACAACTATGCAACTTTGTCTTTCCAGATGTTTGAGACCTCCGTTCCCAGCAGTTCAACTAGTGTTATGACATTACGGGAATTGTTGGGCACAAAAGATCAGGTTCAATTAAACTGATTTCTTGCTACTCATAACTATACACAGGAACCTTGCAAACTCACAGTTAACAGCTGCTCGTAGTTAGTTAAATAAGGGACAGCAAAATTATAGGGAATTGGACTGGCTTTGCTTGTGGCTATGTAGGGATTCTAGGCTAATACCTCTTTTGACTCCACCCCCCCAGATTCTGCAAATGCTTCTCCTACAATTGTAGCCCGAACCATCTGGAAAGCAGATCTTATCCCCCCTGGATTGCAACAGGTTTAGCTACAATCCCAATCTACAGTATTAAATGCATTTTTTTCTCCCCCTTTTAGGAAGTCCAACGTCTGAGTGCGGGAAAAGACCAGTCACGATTGGAGAAATGTAAGCGTTACTTTCTTGTCAGGAACTTTGAGTTCAAGGAAGATTTCAGAGCTGATTTTAACATGGTGTTGTTGTTGTTTTTCCCCAACAGCCACCATGGGAGCTTCACCCAATTCAGATTTACCCAAGAAAAGTAAACCTGAGAAAGCACCATTTGCTCACCTTATAATTGATGGCCACAATATTCCATCTGGTAAGTTCATTTTCAAACATTTACCACGTTACCATGCAGCTCAGAATGAGCGGCAAGACATTTGGCTGATTTACAGCCGGTGATGTCTGAAATGGGCAACTACATATATATATATATTTAAATTCCAATGATTACATTTTAAAAGAATTATACTTTGTGTATACAATTCGCTATACTTATTAGAACAGAACAGAATAGAATAGAATATATGGATAGAATGGAATAGAACAGAACAGAATAGAATAGAGAAGAGAAAATAAATAGAAAATAGAAAATAGAATAGAATAGAAATATAGAATAGAATAGAATAGAGTAGAGTAGAGTAGAATAGAAACAGAGTAGAATAGAGTAGAATAGAATAGAATAGGAATAGAATAGGAATAGAGTAGAGTAGAATAGAATAGAATAGGAATAGAGTAGAATAGAATAGGAATAGAGTAGAGTAGAATAGAATAGAATAGAATAGGAATAGAGTAGAATAGAATAGGAATAGAGTAGAGTAGAGCAGAGCAGAGCAGAATAGAATAGAATAGAATAGAATAGAATAGAATAGAATAGAATAGAATAGAATATATGAATGGAATGGAATAGAACAGAACAGAATAGAATAGAAAATATGGAATAGAATAGAATAGAATAGAATAGAATAGGACAGCCTCTTGTCTGAAATGGTATAGGGTCTCCTGCTTGAGCAGGGGGTTGGACTAGAAGACCTCCAAGGTCCCTTCCAGCTCTATTCCGATTGATCTATCAACTAGTCGCTAAGCGAGGATTATTTGTCATCCCCAAATAGGAAGCCAACATTTTATTCATTTTTTTTAAAAAAAAAATCATCTTTTCGTCTTAGGCACCGGGAAAGTCAACCTGACGTGTTGGCATCATGACAAAGGCTGGGCCAACGTGCTGAATATGACGTTCAGCGACGGCCGACTCGTAGCCAATCACGACGGCTTTTACTACCTGTACGCCAATGTCTGCTTCAGGCACCACGAGACATTGGGAAACCTGACCGGGCAGATGCTGCAGCTGATGGTCTACGTGATCAAAACGGATGCCAAGAGGCGGAACTCCGTGGTCCTGATGAAAGGCGGAAGCACTAAGAATTGGTCGGGGGAATCCGAATTTCATTTCTTCTCCGTAAATGTGGGAGGTTTCTTCAAACTGAAGGCGGGAGAGATTGTGAGCATCCAGGTCTCCTATCCTTCCTTACTGGACCACTCTCCGGAAGGAACTTATTTTGGAGCTTTTAAAATCAGAGATATCGATTGAAATTCGATTTTATTTTGAAAAAAAAAGGGGGGGAGAAGTGGTATTTATTCAGCTGGGTTAGATTATTGGAGGATGGAGTTACAGCTTGCGGGGTCCAGCTGTGTACAGGTAGTCCTTGACTTATGACCGCAATTGAGCCCAAAATTTCTCGTTGCTAAGCGAGACAGTTGTTCAGTGCCCCATTTTACGACCGTCCTTGCCAGAGTGGTTAAGTGAATCACTGCAGTAGTTAAGTCAATATTGTGGTTAGGAAGCGAAGCTGACTTCCCCGTTGTCAGAAGGTCGCCCAAGAGGATCACGTGACCCCGGGACACTGAAACTGTCATAAGTGCATGACAGTTGCCAAGCCTCTGAATTTTGATCACGTGATCAAAATTTGGGTCATCGGTTGCCTTCTCAAAAGGGCCCTTTTAAAAGTGAAAAGTGCCATTTTAGCTTCGGGCGGTCGCTAAATAAATTGGTGTAAGTCAAGGACTACCTCTTATCAATTCAACTTCCTGGGCTGTCTTACTGACAGCTGCCTTTCAAAAAATATATATCTGCTCCTAAGGTTAGGACCGTCCAGCTACAATATTTCATTTCAAGGTTTTTTGGGTGATTTTGGCCTGTGGACCAAAGAGGCTAACAGGACTATGAATGGGCCGTCCCGCCTGGAATGGCAGTTAAACCATGGCTTATAAAAAACACTTTGAAAAACTAAGCCGACTTTGGTGTCCTACAGGAACTCCAGAGTTGGGTTCAGAAGACATTACTAGCATGCAACTGCTATTAAAATCTGGGAAAATAATAATAATAATAATAAGGTCCCGCTGATTTTCACAAAAACGAACTTCTTGAAAAGCTAAAAAAAGTTCCAAGCCCGGGGCGTTTCTGATTGGTTCGGGTGAATATTTCTGCACAAACTCGCTTTGAGAATTGCACCGTTCATTTGGACTGACCCCTTGTGTCGTTTGTAAAGTGAGTTTTGCTCCGTTTTACGACCTTTCTTGCCCCAGTTGTGGCAGTGGTTAAATTAGTAACCTGGTTGTTAAGTGAATCTGACTTCCCCCATTGATTTTGCTTGTCAGGGGATCACGTGACCCCCCCCTCCGGGGACACTGAAACTGTCCTAAGTACATGCCAGTTGCCGAGCCTCTGAATTTCGAGCACGTGACCGTGGGGATTGCTGCAATGGTCGTAAGTGGGAGAAACGGTCCTCAGTTACTTTTTGTAACTTGGAACTGTCACTAAGCAAGCTGTTTTAAGTGGAGGACCCCCTAGTTTGTTGTGCCTTACCAATTTTGTTTTACACGGTACTCAATAAAGCAACTTATGCACTGGTGCAATTTCACCTTAACATTTTGTAATTAAAACATTGAGGGGGGGAAAAAAAGAAAGAAAGCCTAAGTCAATTTAGGAAGGGATTTTAGAATTTGTAAAATGGAACTGTCGCTTTCTAAATGACAAAACGTCTTATATTTCCCACCCACCCCTCTTTTTTTTTTTTTTTTTTCCTGCCGGCGGAATTGCCCCTGAAGTGTCTTATATTTCTGCCTTCTCCTGTGTCTCTGCTTCGTCCCTTCCACGGGGCCGACACAGAGTCGTAAGATGCTTTTCTCGTAGAGTTTCAGCACTGAATTTGTCCGATACCGTTTGCGTATCTGGGACACAATTCTACTGACTACAGTATACAGGTGCTTTTGCTTTTTCGCGATGTGATGTCAGCGGTAAAGGTGGGTTTGTGGGATGCGTGAAAGGACGGAGAGTCTGAGAATTGATTCACAAAGGAGGTGGCTTAGAGCTGAGGTCTGTCTTTTGGGGACTCCGTCCATTCCATGGACGTCCATAGGAACACATGTTGACGTGGAACCAATTTAGCCTGGATTAGATCAAATGTCTATGAAGATTCTCAATCGTGCAGGTTATAATTGTCTCACAGGTGCTTTTTCAAAAGGCATCAGTGATGAAGCTTCTTGGATGAGAAGTGAAACAGCTCCTCCTCCTCCTCCTCCTCCTCCTCCTCCTCCTCCTCCTCCTCCTCTTCTTCTTCTTCTTCTTCTTCTTCTTCTTCTTCTTCTTCTTCTTCTTCTTCTTCTTCTTCTTCTTCTTCTTCTTCNTTCTCCTTCTCCTCCTCCTCCTCCTCCTCCTCCTCTTCTTCTTCTTCTTCTTCTTCTTCTTCTTCTTCTTCTTCTTCTTCTTCTTCTTCTTCTTCTTCTTCTTCTTCTTCTTCTTCTTCTTCTTCTTCTTCTTCCTCCTCCTCCTCCTCCTCCTCCTCTTCTTCCTCCTCCTCCTCCTCCTCCTCCTCTTCTTCTTCTTCTTCTTCTTCTTCCTTCAAGCTCAGAGAGCACCAAGGACCCCACAATCCTCCTCCTTCTCCTGGTTCTTGAGAATTGTTGAATTTTTCTGCATCCAGGCCTCTAAAAAACCCTCTTCCTTCCAGCTTTTTGTCACTGAATATTTAGGATTAGCATTTTACATTAATTGACTAGTGATTTCATGACTTACAGACATGATTTGTCAAATTGTTCATTAAGGGCTGGCTCTTCATTCTTCAGAGGTAAACTGTCCATGAGAAAAGAAAACTGCACTAATAATAATAATAATAATAATAATAATAATAATAATAATAATAATAATAATAATAATAATAATAATAATAATAATAATAATAATAATAATAATAATAATATAATAAAAATTGGGAGGGACCTTGGAGGTCATCTAGTCCAACCCCCTGCTCAGGCAGGAAACCCTATACCATTTCAGACAAACGGCTGTCCAGTCTCTTCTTAAAAACTTCCAGTGTTGGAGCATTCACCACTTCTGGAGGCAGGTTGTTCCACTGGTTAATTGTTCCAACTGTCAGGAAGTTTCTCCTTAGTTCTAGGTTGCTTTGGAAACCAAAAGGTGCAAATCTGTTAATCAATTCTCAGCATTGTCTTGCCATGCCAGAACTTGCAAGGTCCTGTTTTTCCAAAAAACAAAAAGGCAAAATGGATATTTTTATATTCTGTAAGATCAAGGTTATATTTCAGATGTAAGATTTTATGTGAAGAACTTCGTAATTTATGTTTGTCCTAAAGTATTTGATACGAAATATTTAAAATCTCAGTGTGTATAATGTATATGTATGTGTGTATATATATATATATATTGTTGGAAGTGTTTGTACAGAAATGGATTTACTGGTGCACTTTTAAAGCCCATGAGGGAAAAACTGCAGCTAAAATGATCGTTTGCTACTCGCAAATGTGACCTGTTTCTTGCCGTTGTATTAATTTAATCGCTTTTGGTTGATCTGATCAGTATTATTCAAAAGTCCAGGATCGCACATCACAATCTGACAACTGTGGATAGTTTTGAGATACTTTATACCTTTAAGTGTTAACTCCAGGAATTTGTGCCAAGGTTTTTACGGGAAAAAGAATAGGGGAAAACCAGTTAAGAAAATCAAAAGGGCGACTTTGAAAGGAAGTTATAGCAATAATGTTGGTTTAGATAGCCCTGAGTGATTATGCTTGTTAAGTTATTGCTTAACAATTGCTCCCCCTGTTGCAGTTGTTATGCAGCGGGGGAGACCCTGGGTTGCTGAACAAACCGTCGTAAATTGAGGACTATCTGTGTGTAATGGGAAAAAAAAGCAACAGATCCAACAGATTTGTTAAGAGTATTTTATGCAATTATTCAGAAAACAGACATTTTACCGTACTATACATGCTGCAAACCTGCAAATGCTCTAAATGATTTGTTCGTCTGTTTTGAAAACAACGTGTGTGTGTGTGTTTTCTTTTTTTTACAATAAATACATAACGCCACATGTTACAATTATTTTATACTGTACCATGAGCACTGCTTCGGATTGTTATAACATTTTAAAAAAAATAAATACATTTCTAAGAAGCCGGAGTTGGTGGTTTGCTGTTCTCCTTCCCACTTCCTTTCTCCGCCAAGGCAGTTATGAATAACGCTGCTAAAATTGCTAGGTAGGGGCAGCGGATAATGAAATAATTGGATGGGTGAACTTCGGGACCTTTCGCAAAACGGAGTAGCAAAATGGGAGAAATCTGAAACAGCCCAGAACTAGCATTTTACAGCAGTTTTCTTACTCAACTCCCCGTGAGATTCCACCAAAATATATTGAAATACGTAGACATGAAATTCCATCTTGCCCCTTTTTGGATCTCAACCTACAGGGTGTGATTTTCATCTTTTGGAGAATAAAAGTCTATAATTGAAAAAAATATTTAAAAAAAAACACGTATCATAATTAAGATTAACAAATTCTTTTTTTTTTTGGTAAGAGTTTTTATTGGGTTTTTTCCCCCATGCATTCAGTAATAATTTTTCAACCAACGTGCTGTCTGAGTTGACATTCACGAATACGTATTTAATTCCCAATCCTTTATTCTTTCCTCAAGCCATCGATAAAATAAGTCCCAAGTTGGATAATATTCTGTTTCTTCTTTTTTCTTTTAGTCTCATAGTCAGTCTGTCCATCTCTGTGCATTCTAGCATTTCTTCATCTGATGGTACTGCTTCATTTTTCCAGTATTGCGCAAATATAATTCTTGCCGCCGTTGTGACATGTAAAATCAAATATAAGCTTTGTTTGTGAGTCTTTTCGGGCATTGTACCTAATAAAAAAAGTTCAGGTTTAAAATCGACGTGTTCTCCCCACATCTTTTCTAGCCAGGCATGTATCTTTTTCCAACAACTCTTTACTTTGACACATGTCCATCAGACATGATAATAAGTGCCTGACTTATGTTTACATTTCCAACATCTATCTGACGTGTTTTTAAACATTTTTTTGCTAGTCTTGCTGGTGGCAAGTGCCATAAGGTTAACAAATTCTGTCGACAATTCAGGACAGGCCACCCTTGATTGACAGCCACAACTGAGCCCAACATTTCCGTCGCAAACTGATAAATTTATTAAGTGAGCTTTGCCCCACTCAATACGATCTTCCTTGCCCCTGCAGTTGATAAGTTAGCAAAACGGTTGTTAGGTGAACCCCCGTT